ATTTAGAGAGATCTTAATATGTGAAAATTTTTCATGCCTGCTCTGATAGGCAGCTGAAGTTTTTAATAAACAAACATATTTAATTTTTTTAATTGCAAGTGCAATAGGTCAAATACAGAGATTCAATACCCATAGACTGGGGAAATACTCTTGCGTGTAGAAATTTTAAGGTAAGATAATTATTTTTAACTGTCCTTCTATTAAATGCTGCCTCAGAGAAGTCTAAGAAGGCATAATCATCAACCCCAAATTAAATTGACCATGGTATGATTGGCATCATATAATATAATGTAATAGTAGTGAAATGCTGAAAAGACAAAAAAGACCAAATATTTAAATGTTGAGAATTTCCAATTAAAAGGTAGCCTGCAAACCTGCAAAGTCCAGTAAACAACAAGAAAAAGGATTAAGATTTGCAGTGCTCTCAGTCACCTAATTTACATGTGAAAGAGCTCAAATTCTGGTTAATTACATTGCAGACAAAACCCTTGATATCCAGGGCACAGATATTCATTTCTCAGAGATTCTTTTTCTCCATTTTCTTAAAAGATACTTCATCTCATTGGTATTCACAGATTTGCAGAAAACATACAGCTAAAATATATCAATAAAAGTGTAAAAAATATTGATATAAAAATTGTTTTGATATGTGTTTTATTAATTTCCAGATTGTTTAGCTAAATATTCTGCTTATCTCTCCCTCTGCTACATGCTCCTAAGCTTCCTACCTTTAATTCATAATTTACATAGAAATAAATAGAAAATCATGAAGCCTAAACACATTTTGGGAAAAAACAAATCTTCACTCATTCATTCCTTCCTTTAAACTTCTTTTCAACTCCTTCTTTCATATCTATTATCACTCAGGCTACAAACAAAAGAATTAAGCTTTTAACTGAGATCACATTCCCATATTCCACATCAGAAAGACTCCCTCCTGTCACAGCCTCCAGAAGGACTGTGATTTTCAGTGAGGTCTTTGGCACCATTCACTAGAGAAGGAGGCTTAAAATGGTCGTCTTTCTTCTCCATATCACATGCTAGACACATGTACACAACCCTTTAATGTACTTTCTTAAAGCATATTGGAATATTAAATTTTACAGCTCTAGATTTGTAGGAGTTTGTGCATATTTTGTGTAAGAACCTGGCAAAAAAGGACAGCTGTTGCTCCTCTTCCTATGGTTATTAATTTCCCCCATAGCATTTTTTCCTACTTTGTTCCAGACTGGTTTGTTTTCTGGATTTCACTTCCAAGGGGTGTTCAAGTGCACCCTATGTATAAAAGACAACATGAATTAAAGTGAACAAAATTTACTTGTTAAAGAGCTAAAAAAAACCTGCTCCTGTATTCATTCAAGGCAAATTCACAACAAACCTCACCTGAATTTAATAGCTCGGTAAAAAATAATGCAACTCAAATAATATTCACTACTACATGTTTCCTAAAATTATATATGCACATTCAGTTTATTCTTCTGGACTTCTACTGTGATACATAACTGAATTATTAAATTTCCCCTATAAATCCACCTATTAACAGGGAAAGTCACTTCAGCAACAGCTACTTAGAGATTCACATCCAGGGTCTTCCAGCCTTTTCAAACTCACATGCATAAATTGAGATTCCTAAATTGATACCTTCTCATGGGTATGTGGAGTATTCCTTGATTTCAGCAGGGCTTTACAAGTACTTGGAATATTTAGTATACAACTTCACATAGGGACTTAGGATCTTCTCTTGGAAATTACATAAGTTTCCCCATTAATTTTTAATTAGTTGTTTTAATTAGTTGTATGCAGTGCCCACTTTTGGCCAGTATCAGTTAAGTTTCTTCACAGACATTGTTACTTTGATCATTAAATCAACCAAATCTAAAGTTTATTAAAACCCTGACAAGCTTCAATAAGCAAAACCAAAGGGATTTGAAGATTGGGCATCTGGGATTTTAAATTTATGGCTCTTTAAGGACATTGGCATAACCAGAAGATACAGAGGAGATTTAGGCCTCGAAAGCTGGAGATTCCTCATTTGAGCAAGAGACAAAGACTAAAGAATGTGGACCAGATGATCATGAAGAGTGAGTAATCAATAACCAATAGAGGACAGAACACTAACTAATGAAGAGAGTTAGGCAATTTAGAACCAATGATCATTAATTTCTCTGTTGGCTAAAAATGTATAGATAAGTGAAAAAGTCTTGTATTGGGGTCTGTGCGGAGGCCAGAACTTTGTCAGCTACACACACACCTCTTGGCCAAGAATAAAGTACTGTCTTACTCCCTAACACTAAAGAGGTAGAGTCTTACTTAGCTCAAATATTTCTGAGAATTTTGATAACATTTCCATATACCAAAACATCCAAATTTGCCTATTCTCCCCACTCAACAGCTTTTCCTAGGTTAAAATTGACTGCAACACTCATTCAAATTTATTAATGCAAAGCATGGAGTTTGACGTTTTATATATTTCTATTCTAATACCTGGTGTAGGATGATAGGACACATAAATATATGTTTACCCTCAACCGACATATGTACCCTCAACCCACATATGAAGAGGAAAGATTTCTGGTACTGCAAATTATTTGAAGGGCTTTTTAACCTTTCCTGGTGTTGACATAATTTCCTTTGGGAGTGGAACAGACCCTGTCATAAGCTACAGTTCTATTCAGCACAGTAGATCTCATCTAGTCTGGCAAAGGTTCTTCTCTGGCAATTAATTTCATGTTTTATTCATCCCAGAATTTTCTTTAAAGCTACAAATCAAAATGCCATATTGTGCATTGCAAACCACATTATGAACAGTCAGTATCACAAATAAAGGTGCCTTTTGCATAGCAATCAGATTGCGTCTTTTCAGAGAAAATTAATCTAGCTCTGTATTTATCTCACTAATTGCACTCATAGCATTACAAATTATCACCCGCCTCCCATTTACATTATTCAAAATTCAGTCTCTGTAAGTTACTAAACCAAAAGTGAGCCAAACATTTCCTCCTGAGACCAAGAAAACACATAATTTTAACTGTTGATCAATATGAACTAGATTTATCAGGAAAAAAGTTTAGGTACCATAATTGATAAGAGAATAATCACCTGAGAACATGTGTGTTCTGTAAATGCATGGCTTAGGAGAAAAGAGGACAGCTAACCCAGCACACTGCTGAATCTATGTCCCTTCAATAATTATAAATGTGAAGAAACGCCAGTATTTCACCTGCATTCAGTTAAATTAAAGAGATAATGTAACATCCAAATGGAAAGCGCTGAGCACTTTCACAGCTTCCCCCCAAGATGCTCTCACAGCTCCAGTAAGTTTATGGGTAAGGCTAGTCAGTTTTCATTGTTCCACTGCACAAATGGAAAACAAAAATCTTCCATAAAGAGTTACATAAATGTGCGTCCCAACTAGCAGGAAAAATACATTGCACAAAGAATTACAATTCAAGGGCCAGAATCTTCTGTCTTATTTAGGCCCAGCTCCTAGTGATGTCAATGTGTTCTCTTGCTTGAAGCTGTACTGAGTAAAAACTGAGAGACTGAACCCCTAGTTGAAATGCTGGAGCTTAGAAAGCAGTGAGGATCAAGGTGGTAACTAACTGTAATAAAAACCAACAGGAAAGCTACAGCAGGAGAGAAGGCAATTTTCTATATGGCAGAAGCTGCTGTATGAGACCACTAATTTAAAGGTAAATACTCTCACTGCAGTTTCATTCTTCTTGTATGAACTACCAAATTTTTGTGATCATTAATCTACCAAATTCCAGGTTTTCCTTTTCAAAAAGTTTTAGAAAATTCTTGTGAATAATGAATGATAGACTGTACCATGTAAATATATATGTAAATATGTAAATATGATTCAGTCTAGCTTTGAGAAAATGAACTAAACTAATCACCAGCTGATGGAAGATGTTCCTCTTCTTCCCTTAATGATGTTCATGTGTATTTCATAGATATATATACCAGGTTAAGACAGTAATCAAAAAGCACAAAATGCCAACAAAAAAAGGTTTGTCACTTTACATTTCCTTCTATTGTCCTACTTAATGTTATTTATTGTATTTATTTTACAACCTGATAGCCAAATGCCTTTATTTGTTAACTATACTTCTTGTTTATCCTGAGCAACATAATTTTTTTTTCCTGGTAATGTGAAGAGAAGATATATACACTATGGGCCATAAAAGCACCTTTGTTTACTACTGCCATGTCGTATCATCTCCACCTCTTGGCTTGAAATTTATTGGAGATGAGTGTGATCAGAATTACATGGGAGTCTACATGTAAGTAGCTTTAGCATTGCACCATAGCTACAGGAAAAACAGCCAGGCTGAAGGCTTGCATTATGATCTTGGCCCTTTCCCTCCTGCCTTCCATGGCCAACTTTTTCTTAATGTTTTTTCAAAAACCTGGCATCACAACAATGCAAAAGAGTGGAAAGAATGATGTTCAGAATCCCTTGGATGTATTACTTTGGTTGACTGCATCCATAGCAAGCAAGCAGCCAACAGGATTTATCCCTGGGTTTCTCAAGAAGAGAAATACCCTCATATCTCCTTATTCTCTTTCTTCTCTTTTCCTTTCTTTCTTCCTTCTTTTTAGCAATTTAAGGTGTGTTTCCTCTTTATTTTTGGTTCTGTAGGGAGATTTCAGCACCAGGAAGCATCAAAAATTAGAAGCTAAATATATATGATTTCTCTGCAAGAAAGAACACACCCCCTTTAAAGAGAGGTTTTATGAAAATAAACTTTCAAACAGCTCCACAGAAACACTTCCACAGCTAGTAAAAGGCTTTTGTGCAATTAGCTCACTCACCTTCAGAGGATTTATATTTTGCTGGCAAACATGGTCCACAGTAACTACTTTCCTCACTTTCCTACACATACAAGAGAAGGGCACAGAGCAGACCTTGCATTCAAATATGCAGGAGTTTTATCTGTAATAAACTATGTATGGCATGAATAAAACATTTGTTTGTAATTTTCTGCAGACAGACCTTAGTATTTATGAAGCTATTGGTTATGCATTACTTTATTTTGTAAGTATGTTACAGCCTGGCAAGGTTCGTAAAACTATTGGTTTTCAATTGATTTTGTCTACTTGGTACTTTGTGACTTACACAGTCAGTTATTGTTTCCTCCAAGCTGGAGACAAATAATTAGTCTTTTTCTTAACTGCCTATATATATGCAGCTTTTCCCAGGAACTGAGACAAACAAAGGTCCATTTACATGAAGGTATAATGAAATACAAAAAGGAAAAAATGTCTAAGTGCAGTTGAACTGAATGCATTTGAGTAACTACCCTTGAGTGAAGCTTCACAGTGCTTACTTAGCTTCATCCTTTAGCTTATTAGGGTTTTCTACCCTTAGAAATAACAAGAAGCATTATGTTCCTGCTCCTGTATAATACAAAGGTCATCAGTTCTGCTCTCATCTAGGAATTATTACCTCCTCCTCTCAATTCAGACTTCATAACTTTTTCAGACATAGTGACTCACTATAACTCTAAAAGAATGACAATAAGAAGGATAAATGCTTCTGCTTGCAGTAATTTGAAGTGAAGCCTGTACTTGAACATTTGCTTTTGTTCAAGAATTTTCAAGCAAGTCCTCCAAAAACAGACTTCCCAGCCAACATTGGCCGTTTTGTTCCCACCAGTAAGTGTGCATGCACTAACACCATCAGGATGTTCCATCTAAAAATTAGTCTTTTGACTTGAGTTGTCCCTTCAAGAAAAACATCCTTTTATAGTTAATGTCTATGCAAACCTCATTAATGGTCCTTCAAACAAGGAGCAGAAGGAACATCATAGGGTTTAATAACACTTGCTCACTGAATAAATTGAAGTTACTCCAATGTTGGAGACATGGAATGCAGTAGTTCTAGAGAATTATCATTGCTTAAAACATTCATACAACTTACAGTACTTTGAACTCTTGCCAAAATACTAGTGGAACTACAAGCAGCCATCATGGCATCCCAGAATATTCACTGGATCAAAGGAGGATCAAAGAACCCTCTGCTGAAAAGGCAAGAGAGAAAAATCGTCTGTAGAGGATTCTGTCTCATTTGCTTCAAATATTCCATCTGCAATTCTCCTTCTCTGGAAGACAAAGAGGGAGGAATCTTCTCCCTGACGCTAGTGTGAATTTAACTTGTGTGTTTGTGTCTCCATGGAGACAATGTAAACACATCTGTTTTCTTTTACACTTCTGATGGAAGCATTCTACACAGAATTCATCATTGCAGGGAACAAAAACATTATCTTGAGGCAGAAATTGAGGTCATTCCTTACACAATGAAAAAGGAAACCTGGTTTACTTCATTTCCATCAATGATCAGTGTCACTAGAAGAGCAGAGCAGTGGAGTTTACAGTCATATCTTAAAGCTTAGGGTTTGCATATCTTGACACTTGAACAATAAAATAATGTTAATAAAACAGTCAGTGTTAAGCTTGTATTACAAGGGGAGTAAAAGAAATATAAATGCAGGATACTCATTGCCAAAAGGAGAAGTGCAATATTCTACAATTCTGAAATGTCAGTATGTCATTATAAGGCTGCCACAGCTGTTATACATTGTTGCCTTTTGTGTAGTCTCTAAAAATCAGTAAATACCAAGACCTGACAACAAAGCTATATTATCTGTAACTTTACTTTACATTTCCCCTATTATCTAACCATTGCCAGTTAATGAAAGAGGAAAAGACATTGCACTGCCGTGGTGTCAATTTTGCTCCTTTTGTTAAAGATGTTCCAAGAATTGGGGAAGGAAAACAAAATTTTAAGCAAGGATCATTGTTTCAATAGCTGAATGTCCATTTAGCGCCTGAAGCACATTAAGCTGGTTTTTACCAGTCATAAGAATGTCCCATGCTCCTTGTTAATTCCACTAACATAATGGAACATACCACTTTCAAACATCACTTTCTGCAAAAGAAGAAAACATGAAAAAAAGAGTTCATACTAGAATTTTAGTGGTTTTTCACAAAATCAAGCCATTAATTTTAGAAAATCCACATTTATTACAACACACTACCTTCAATATGCATTCCTCATATTCCAGCATTTCATTAATCATTCCCGCTTGTGAAAACTTTAGCCTGCAATGTGAAATGGTCGGATGATGCACTAATCAATATTATGGCTATGGCCATAAACCTAAAAGTAAGTTCTTTCTGTAAAGTACCTTCTCTTAAATAGAAGTGATTACTCTTTGCGACACAAAGTCCTCACAATAGTAAAGAAACAGAAAGGATATTTTAAAGATATATCAGAAATTTCAAATACCAACCTTTTTTGTTATGGACTAGTAATGTACCAGTAGTTTCCGTGGTGAGTTCTATCATTTGAGGAACACCTGGCTCTTCTCTGTAAATCTTCCAGTGTGCTGCAGCAGTGTCAGCACATCTCAGTCAGGTATTAACAGACTGGGCCCATCTATTTCTTCCAGTGTTGCTTCCTGTGGCTGGAAGGAAAAGGTGACCTGTGTTCCAGATTCCCTCCCCAATTGTGCCAAGACTCTGAAGACACTTTAGATTAACTCTGGACTGTACCTTGTGGTTTCATCACCACCCACAAGGAAAAGCAGTAACCGGCAATACTCCAAGGGCCATACCAGATCAGGAAGTTTCCCAGTGATGTCCTTAACCTAGGCTAGGGGAAGCAGCAGACTTTCCCAAGAGCAGGGTCTGGTATTTGGACCCTCTATTCCTCTCAGAAGGGGAATAGTCACCTACAACTATAACCTACCTTTCTTTTAAGCAAGTCACAGAGTTTTGCCCTTCTGCCCCTGGCGACACCTGTGTTGCAAATGAGCCAGCAACCCTAACCCTAACCCTAAACCCAACCCAATATCATGTATTGAGCAGCCTCGTAATCCAGAGCTTGAATATCTCCAAGTCTCGTTCTGGTCCTCGCAGAGGACACGGCTCGGCGCTGAGGGGACATCCCCGCCCAGACCATTCTGGTACTTGCAGAGGACACGGCTCGGCGCTGAGGGGACATCTCCGCCCAACCATTCTGGTACTTGCAGAGGACACGGCTAGGCGCTGAGGGGACGACACCGCAGCCAGTCGCCCCCTCACGGCGGGGCGGGCGCCCCCAACACGCAGTCTGCCCGCGTCCCGCGCGCGCCCTTTGAAAAACCGCGGGGCGCGTGGGCTCCTCTCGCGAGAGCTTCCGGCCTGAGAGGGGCTGCGCGCGCTCCCCGCTTGGGTGACGGACTTTCCAGTTAATTATCTTTCCATACTTTCAATATTTATTTTATAAAGGTATCTGCTACCCCGCCCTAAGAATACTCTGCAGGAAGAGGTATTGGCATTCATGTCACGATTGAAGCTGTTTAATTTCCAGCTAGATAGGCGGGATATCACAGCTGCGGCGCAAGTGTTCTCTGGAAGGACAGTTCAGATGATTGAAGCTGGAGCCATTTCACAGTCGTTTCACAGCTCGTTCAGCAAGGCCGTGATTTCTTATGCCTTTCAGATTACTTGGCGATGGAGCTTAATGACATGGCCATAGTTAGAGTGAAAAAGGCACAGTTCACATCATAGGTAAATTACAATTTTAAATAAATAAATAAATAAATAAATAAATAAATAAAAGAGTAGAAGGAGTATGACATTAGGGTAGCAGGTGAAAATCACAGGTGAAAATCAGAACAAAGGGGAGCTGGTTTTTGGGTAGCACAAGCAGAAGGGTATAAAGGAAAAGAGAGCCCACACATGTACCTGTTCTGCTACTGAACTGCAGGTATCTTGATGGTTCCTTCACTTTCCTCTCTTCTTATTTTTGAGAAACATATTTTCCAGGTATAAACCAGGAACTAATATATTTGGCTATTCTAGTGAAATGCCTGATTTTTCAATTGAAGAGTAGCATAGCATAACATTTCGTAAATCAAGAATAGCATAAATAGTGACAAGAAGATTTACTAATTCCAGTAACTAATATTTCTGCTGTGTGCCCCAAGAGTTCCCAGTTAATGCAGAAATGTTACTGAGATGGAGGATCTTCTGTAATCTTAGAATTATTTCTGATGGTACAACATTCTGTGTTACAAGCATGTGCTACAGTCAATGATATACCTGTGGCATTGGTTCACAGAAAGAAGCAGTACAAAACCTCCCTGGGACTAAGACTTGCTTAGCTCTGAAGCACTGCTGCATTAAGAGACAAATACTGAAAGACAGGTATATGTCCTCGATGGAAATTCCAGAAAGAGTACATATATAACATGTATATACATGTATAACTTCTGAAAAATGTTCCTCTGTCAAACAGTGAAAATATTTTAAGCAGGATCCACTGAGGGGTGGTGTTGTAAACTCAATTAAAAAAGTACTTTCTATTATCAGAACAGATAATAAGAGTAGAGGATAATTATAACATCTGCCTGTGGCACATCCTGTAGAGCCACTGCAAACATTTCAGAGCAAAGAATTCAAAATTATCTTGGCAGGTTGGAGGAATCTAAACTGAACAAAGTTTAATTCAATAAATGTAAGTGTAAAATGTTCTACACTTAGGAAAGACAAATGAAAAGCATAAAAGCAAAATGAGAACCATCTGGCAAGGCATCATTTCAGCATAAAAACATCTAAAGCCTATGGTGAATTAATAACATGATGCTCAAACACAAAATACTGATCTCATTCTGGGAAGCATTGCTACAGGAGTCATATGTAAGACACAGATGCAATCTATTGCACTCCATTTGAGAAATTAGGATAGTGTTTCCGGGCTTGAGAACCAGATAAGAAAATTGTAGAATTGGAGAGATTTTAGAAGTGTGGGGGAACAGCAAGAGACATGGACACAACTGGCAGAGAAACTAAATATGTAACAGTCTAGAATGTCCTCTAACACAGAGTGTCAAGAGTTATGTAAAAGTGCCCCTGAAAAATACGTTTCATAGTAGAAATTAACCCAATTTAAGGACAGAGAACCAGGAGATCCTTATCCAGACTGGCAGCGCAGAAATTAGCCATGCATCTAAAAGTTTAGTAACTTTAACTCAATCTAAAAACTAATTGAACTTCAGAAAAAGGCAGTCAATATTTTCCCTTATTAAAAGTACAAAAATAAAACAGTCCATAAAGAAGGAACAACCCCTACACTTTGTAAAGCCTATTCAGTACATACTGCAATATTTTCAGAGGGGAAGCAATTTAATAGTAGAGAATGAGGTACCCCTAAAGTGCTAGTAATCAAAAAGAATGTGACTGTTCATATTTATGATGATTCCAAGGTTAGAATTATCCAACACTTTCTGATATGTTCTTTCCGTGGTGTGGTTTAAAGAATAGCTGCCCTCATTGCTGTGATTAGCATTTCCTCAGACTCTGAAAATCAGAAAACCTCTTTAAATCAGCCCTTAACTTACTAAGTCAACGTGACTTTAACAGGAAAGGCAAGCAAGCAATGAAGGTTCTGTGGGGATTGGGCAGAGGGTTGCAAGTCCCATTACAACAGGAGTTCCTACTGCAGGCGAGAATGCTAGTGCAAGAGCTACAGTCCCTATACCTCCTTGTTAAGTCTTTGCCTAATTATGAAGGAAACATACAGATATATTAGGTTCCATCTGATTATTTTAACTATGAACAAAGAATGCCAAGCTTAGCTGTGTACACTCACTGTTATGCCAGCAGGCTTCTTAAACACAGTGATATCATTTAAAATTCTCTAAGTTTATATAAGCCAGTATTCTGGCTGGTTATGCTATCATCAATTGGTTGGTTTAATCTTTTTTTGAAATCCTAGACAAACCAGTCTATTTCCACAGGCAAACCAGTTACATTAACTGGTGATAGGCACTAAGCTATCTTTTAATTTCATTGCATTTGTGCTTTAATTGTTTCAGGGAATAGCACCCATTTTCTTAATCAGGAGAAACAGAGTTGAATAACTCACTGAAAGTTCTCAGTTTGCAGTGGTAAATAGCTGTGAAATCAAAGCTCTTTCTGGTTAGCACAGACTTGGGGGGAAAAGGGATTTTTACATGCTGATGCCCATTTTTGGATAGCAGAAAAATAGCTTATCACTGTTCCACTACAACTACATTATTATTTCTTCTGTGAATTTTCAATACTCAAAAACATTGACCAGAGAAATATTTGAGATATTTATGAGCATATAACTCCAGAGAAAAATGTGCTCTCTTTCATTGCTGGAATCTAGATTATGCTCTTCTACAATGATTGAGCTTTAGAAATAAGTTCCTGTATCTTCCTTTCTCCCTGTGATACATCCACCCATTTCCATATTGTGTGTGTCATCATTTGGTTTTAATTTTCCAGTGTCTTCTAGTGCACTATTGTCACTGAATGATGATGCAACAGCAATATAACCTTCTTGGGATCATGCTTGACAGGCAAATGCTTCTTTAAATCAACACATCACCACCAACTATAAATTAACCTGCTACTATGTGTACTATAAGGGGGTGTATTGTGTAATTACTAAGAATCAGCCAAAACCTCTGTTTGAGGCCCTTTTCCCACCCACCTCTTCTCATGCTGTCCCCTGGGAAAATAATCTACTCCAATATGAAGGGATTCTCTCAGGTAATAGGAACAGACTTCACTCTTTTGGTTTTATCTTCAGCAATAATTAAGATTTAAAATAACTTTAGAGTCTATTATGTTATTATATTCTTTATAATATATTTTTATATTATTCTTTTGGGAGCAGCACACATATCCCCTGAGAACTGCACTCCCAAAATTCAGAATTTAGTGTGTAGCACAGTGCTTCCTTCAGGACAAAATGCCATACTCCTGAAAGCCTTAGCATTCTCTCTGCTCTGCTACTGAAGGATTGCTATTCTTAGAAGATTCAGCTCTGTAAGATAAGTGTTAATACATTCTTTCTGCAGGTCTCCAGGGCCTGAAGTTTGAATTTAATGTGAACTGAATAAAATAATTTGCTTTTTATCACCATGGTCCATGTACTGTGGTTTGAGGCCAATATGTGACTGTAAGGTAAATGAGTTTAACTCCAACTCTCTAATCCCCGGATGAGATCATAAAATCACCACACATCACTCAGTACTGTTTAGCAAAAAATGCCTCTCTAGTAATAATGAAAACTCTGAATTGTAGTCACTGGCTTCACAAAGATGATGGCTCTTGCACATTTAGGTGAGGGAAATGTCTGTGTATGGAGAGGATGGAGTGCAGCCAACACAGCACAGTAACCTCCATTTCACGTTGATGTTTGATTTCTGGAAGTCTACTCCGAAATCTACTTTAAAAACAATGAACCATCCTCTTGCCTACTCTCTCTCTTAAACAACAACATACACATAATTTGATATGTAATCCTTTTTAGTTAAAACTCATGCTCTGCCTTAGGTAAAATTCAAGAATAAACATGGGAGTAACTCCTCATGTAATGATGTAATGACAAGTTTAGTTATGATTTTTTCAGTTTATTCACATGCAAACATATAAACTCAAATGTAGAGATAGTTGCTGAAAAAATATGTCTTTTCCATAGTTATATATGCTAGAGAAGGAAAATACTCAAATACGCAACCGGCAAGGTGTCCTCATTCATATGAATCCACTGTCATTTCAAACGTTGGTACTACCTCTCTGGATTACTTGCTACTAGTTTCACTAAATAGATAATTTAGTAGCAAGAAATTCTACTAAGCAACTAAAAGCAAATCAATAGCTTGAAAGAATTTCACT